CGCGCGCTGGAGCCGACAACTCAACTGCGCGACACAGGCAGTTCCAACAGGTGCGATGAGCACTAGTACTTTCCGGCCAGCACGCGCTGGACCCGGCTCTTCAACAGTGCACCACGGGCACTACCAACAAGTGCTACAAGCACTACTACTGTTCGGCCGACACTTGTCGGGCCCGGAACCTCAACTGTGCCCCTGAGGCACTGCCATTCACTTCTAACGGGGTCCCAAGTGGACCTGTACGGGTGCGAGCCGCACCTGCAGCAGGGTGCCGGTGCGAGTGACCCTGCACTAAGGCAAAAAGCACGGGAAACAAGGTCTGCACTGACTCCAAACTGGTGCGCAAGGCACCTGCCGCAATGGGCTTCCAACTGTACTGCCCGTATACCTACTTCCGGTCTCAGTAATGACGCCACCTGCCGGCTTCCAACAGTGCTGGCCGCAATGGGCCGCCTACTGCCGATCTAGCATGACCTTCGGCATGTGCAAACAGCACTACTTGCAGGCCGGGATATCCCGGACACCTGCAAGGGGTCTACAATGACCTCGGTCCTTGTGCGAAGAGCACTACTGCAGATCGGGAACACCCGAACGCCTGCTACTGGTCTGCAATGACCTACACCGGACAGCCTGCACAAAGAGCACTGCTGGCAGGTCGGGAAACGCCCGAACGCCTGCGACTGGCCCGCACTGATCACTACCAGACGCACCACCTGGAGGCCAGTACATACTGACCATCTGCATACATACGGCCACAACGGGCGCCCAGCGGTGCTACAACGCACTACCAGCAGCCCAGCATATGTTGGACACCTGCTTACGCACTGCCTCAGCGTGCTTCTACCAGTGCTACAATGCACTACGAGCAGGCCAGCACATGCTGGACACCTGCTTTTACACTGCCGCAGCGGGCTTCCACCAGTGCTACAATGCACTACAAGCAGGCCGGGGAACGCCGGACACCTGCTGCTCCACTTACCACAGTCCCTGGAGCTACAAACTACTGCCACACACTGTGGACACACATTGGGACTGCGGAGCCTGCATAGGGGGAGGACGGCTAAGCCCTACCAAGAGAAAAACCCGCAGCAACGGTGCTGCGACGGTAAATCTCCCTGCTGCCCTTTTCTGAAGGTGTAGCTGCACTTGCAGCCAGCTTCAGATACAACAAGTAGCCCAGCAAGGGCAGAACGAACTGAACAACGACCAGGCACCGGCCTGGCACTTCCTCACGGTGGCCCGTTTGGGCCTATCTCCACGCCGGTCGGCAGAATAAAGCTGCGGGCTCGTCCCTCGCCGCTTCAAGACTGTGTGCGTTTTTTCATAGTATGCACTCACTTTATAAGAAAAAGCATCCCCATCCTTTGTGGCTTTTTGCTAAATTCACAATAGGCGAAATTCTGAAACATGGCACAGCTCGGAACTTCTTAATGCAATGCAGTTTGCGTTATGATTTTAGTGAGACATAGCAGTCATGTTGTGTGAGGTGTCCACTTCTGTAACCAAACCAAGTTGGAAAATGCGTCCTCTGTGCATTTTTTAGAAATTCCAAAATTTTGAAAACTTTTTATAGGGCTTTTTACTGCAGTCTTATGGCGCGAAGAGGCGACGACCAAGTCGTCAGGGTCGCAACGCGACCTCAAGCGGACTGCCGCAGAGCAGGCAAAGAGCCTCGAGGACAGGCCGACCGTGCGGGCTGAACCCGAAGCTGCGCGTGACTTCCGCACCGGAACGTCTCGTGCATAGCGCAGCCGAGATCGGTGAAGGCCGGGTGGAACTGCCAACACCCCAAAGAAGCCACAGCGAAACGCAGCGGTAGTCCACCGAGGAAGCGCAGGACAGGGAGCGCGCGATGCGAGGGCATCAGCACTCCGACGTCGCCTCAACACCACCAGAGCCGAACACTGCAGACAGCAGGACGCAGTGCGGACGCAGCAACAGTCCAGGCACTCAGACACACACGTCGATGAGAGTCAAACACTGGCATCATGGTAACTCGATGAAGCCGGAAATGTCACTCGTATGAACTGAGAGCTCGATACAATCTGAGTCGCATGGTGCAAAACGATGCACTGCAGGGAGCACACTACAACTGAAAATGTATGTCAACTGTGATCGTGCGCGAGCATCTATGTGTGTGCGTGACAACTGAAATCGTACAGGGAGCACATGGGAGAAACATACTGGAAGGTGCGAAGAGCTACGAGAAAAACTAATCACTGTGGCCATCGGAATCGCAATCGCGATGGCGCTCGTACATCTTCGCCAAACTCATCACACCATGATCAAAGTCGCCCCGCAGGGCGCGGTCCCAAAACTCCCCGAGCTCGAAGGATTCGCGAACCTCCTCAAAGAGGCCCGGGTAGAGCTCCTGGATCCGCTTCATCAGTGCGGGCCGCGTGGGGTAGTCCGCTATGTTGAACTTGCTGGGGACCCTGGCAATCCAGGGCTTCAGATTGTACCGCGCGGCCTCGTACCAGTAGGCTGCGGTCGCTGCCCCGTAGTACCACTTTTTTCCAATCGCGGAGGAGCCCTGCGACAGCAGCGAGTTTTTGGCCACATCGTTGTCCACCAGGTGGTCATACCTGGTGCCCGCTACCCTGCGCCCGTAGTACTTGACCGCGAAGACGCAGGCGATCGTCTCCAAGAAGTTGATCGCCCATGTATCGTAGTCCGGGTGCAGCTGGTGCTTCCGCACCGGCGCCCGGACACAGTAAAACTTCCCGGCAATCACGAGCACCGCCGCGACCCAGCCCTTGCCACTGGACCACGAGGCGTCCGTGTAAATCAGCGTGTTGAAGGCGCAGGGGTCCTCGAAACTCGCCTCGCGGTGGAGGTTGAGCCCCATAACAGCCTTGATCGCGTGGAGGCTGTGCCGAAGCATGTCCGACAGCGCCTGGTCCCCCCTGTCAACGTGCTGCCGCAGCGGTCTCAGCAGCGGGTTGAGGGCGCGGTCCGCCAAGGCGCACAAGGAAAACGTAAGCCGCCCAAGCAAATTGTCGGCGGCAGCGGGGGCGAGCTCGCCGAGCAGCAGTGCGTCGTCGCACGCTTTGACGATCTGCGCCCGCTTGGCCTCGGTGACGGCCATGGATGGCACCTGCGACGCGACGGAGAAGAACATGCCGAGCACTTCCAGCGCGGTGCCCGCTTTGACCTTCTCCTTCATCGCCGGCAGCCCGAGGCGCTTGAGGAGGTCAAGCAGGACCTCCATGACCAGCGTCCCAAGCCCGCGGGGGCAGAAAATTGGATAGTCATCCACATAGTCATCGGCGCAGAGGCCGTAGTGACTCCGGAGGACCGACCGGACGAGCTTGCCACAGCGACACCAGCCGGTGACGCTGTGGCGATTGCCGAACACTGCCGTGACCGCTTGGAACCACATGTACCGCGGCCGGGGGGCGTCCCCGCTGCCCGTGCTTGCCGCCTCTTGACCTGGCAGCAGCCCCGTCGGGTTGAACACCAGCACCCGATTGTAGCGCTTGTCGCAGGGGCGCACGACCAGGTTGTTGTAGCACTTCGCGATGTCCAGCAGCACGATATCCAAATCGTGTAGCTGCTGATCGGATGGTCTTTTGGCCGCCCGGTGGGCGACGGGGAACGACGGCCGCTCGGACCGGATGGGCTGGCGGGCGCCGTCCTTAAGCAGGTCGCTGTCGACCTGCGTCAGTTCGCCGGCAAACACTGCTTTGAGTTGCTTCTCGAATCGCATCTCCGCTTTTCTGCATCTTTTCAGCGCCTTCCGCGAGTGCTGCACGACCCGAAGCCCCTCGCGCGAGGGGTCTGCGGCAATGGCGGCATTCACCAGGATGTCGTGGACCGACGGGATCGGGACCCGCTTATCCAGCGGCGAGCACATGTTTGCGCTGCAGGCCGGATCTATCATCCGGGCCTTGTCCGCCTTCTGGAACCGCACGAACCGCCGAAAAGCCCCCTCGATCTCTGCAAGGTCGTCGACCTCGAAGGGCCCCTCCAGCAGCCTGTAGCCGAGGTCCTCCACGACCTCGGTCTCCCGGATGCTTTTATCCCACACCAGCTGCTGCTCGCTCACCGGCCAAGGCGGGGGCTCGTACAGCCCGCTTCCGCTCGCAATCCGCTTAACCACGGCCGAGGGGCGAAATTCCGCTACAGGCTTCGCCATCTTGTCCTTCCCTATCCGCGGCGACCAGCAGTCCGGCACATCGCACCGGTCGATGCAGCGCAAGCCCTCGAGCCAGACCCGCCAGGCGTCCGCGTCGCAGCTGTGATACAGCTTCCCCAGCCTTTCCCAGAGGCCGAGTTTCTTGCACACGTCCGGGAGCCGCAGCTCAGCCGGAACTTGCGTCCACAGCTCCCGCGACCTCGCCATTGTTTCGTCGTCCATCTGCGCCAGCAGCTGCTGCGCACGCAGCAGTGACTCGCGGGAAACGTTGACGGCGCGGGGGAGGGATGGCGCCACCGGCAGGTCGTGCTGTCGCACGCGGTCGTACTCAACCCGCTTGAGTACATCGGCTATCTGCTGATCGGTGGGCAAGTTGTCCGACATCTTGCGCGCCACACTGCTGGACAAGTGCTACTGCTGCATAGATCTCTCTCGTACGATGCTACGAAAGCAATGCGCCGCGGCAGTGTCGTCGGTGCTCCGCAATCTCTCAACAGAAGTCCCTTCGCGCCAACAAATCTCTCTCCTTGCGATCTCTTGACAGGTGCGATCGCCGGAGACACGCGCGATCGCTCGCAAAAGCCCCTTCCCGTGCCTCGATATCGCTCGAGTGCGCGTAGGCAAGCCTCACTCCTGAAAAGCCACTCTCATACGACCCTCGAAGACGCGACTTTTCACGATGTTCCTCTTCAGACACGACGGGACACTCGAAAAACCCTGACAAAAAGCAGCGAATGGCACCACTGCGTGCCATTTCAGGTCGTGTCTGAATGCGAACGAGCGATGTCTAGGGCCTGAAGCGGGAGCTACGACGTGGACGAAGCGAACACAGATCGGAACTGGGAAAACAAGGGGGAAAGGACCACTCCCCTGCAGCACAAGTAACAGTGTGCTACACTCTCGCCTGCGCAAGCAAGCTTTTTCAAATATGTCAGCACCCTCACTCTCTCATTCCTCCAGATCCTGCATCAGTCTATGCAGTCGACCACATCCGTCCTTCTTGCAGCTGATGGTCTTATAAATCAGTGCCATCACAGCGCTGCTCTGCTATGCTCATGGGTGTACCTCAGCATGTGTGTGAAACATCAGAACTATGCACTAGTAGAAACGTATACAGGAATACTGCAATACACTAACTCGTATGGCGTCACACTGCGAAGCTGCAGGCGAAGCTTGATCTTACTCACGGCGAGCGCGATGTCAAGCACGGAAACAACATCTGTAACGCAAGGCGGAGCGAAAGATAAAACGCGCGAGGAGTTTTCCACTCCTTCGTAGCAGCTAGTGCGAAGTACATTCTTAGCGCTCGTATCTATGTGCGTGACACTCTACTGAAAGGCACAAAAAAGAAACGTGAGTACAAGGTCACTAGTTAGTGTAGCGAAACTGTGCATTTATCATCACGGTGCTGCCGAAGCAGCACCGACCAAAACAAATCGCGCGACCACCTCACGCGCCGCACGGGAAGCAAATGTCCTTGTACATCAAGCCCTCCAGGTTGCGCTTGCCGGCCCCCTCGAGCTCGGCCTTGAACATGGCCTCCGAGAACTCCGTGGCCGCCTGCGGGTGCCAGAACCGGCAAGGGGTCTTTTTGCAGGGCTTCCCGCGCAGGGCATCGTGGCAAACACGCTTCGCTCCTCCCCCCTTGCGATCCCCACCCTTGTTCGCACCGGTGTCGCGCTTGCGGTCGTTGTCGCGGCGGCCACCGCGGCCCCGGGAGCGCTCCCGGTTCCGCTCCCGCTCGAGCTTCTCGCGCTCGGCAGCGATCTGCGCCTTCTCAGTCTCGATCTCGGCCTTCATCTCGGCCCGCTCCTTGGCCAGGTCGTCCTTGACGTCGGCCCACATGGAGAACGAGTCCTTCTGCTTGGCAATGTCGTCCTCAAGGTCGGTCAACAAGTACTCGCGCACCCTCGTCGTGTAGGTCGTCCCGGCGAGGTCGGGCGTTACTTCGAACAAACCTTTTTGCCCCGCCCGGCCAAGCATTTTCAATGCGGCCTCTTTCCCGTAGTGATCGGCCAACAAGGTGAACATCGTGATCAAGGAGTCGCGCTCGGCGTCGGACAACACGGCCGTCGTGCCGGTCTTGGTCTGGCAGGCCATCGCGTAGAACGCCGCCCGCACCCCGGGCTTGGTCTCCCCTTTGCCCCAGAGCTGGAAGAGCTGATGCCACAGCTTGTTGTTGCCCTGTAATGCGCGATGTGGCGAATCGAGCATGAACGTGTGCCCACACCATGTGGCCACCATCATCATCACCATAAAATCATCATCGTCAACACCTAAAAAGCAAAACAGCACGGGGATCAGGATGCTAGTAACACAAACAGCATCTGTACGTATCCTGCCGCCGCTGTGAACTCAGCCTGGTCCGGCATCTCCAGGAGGCTTTTGGCCTTGATGTTGGCGAAGGCGTTCGCGACGGTCTTCGTGCAGTCCGGCTGCAACCGGTCGGCAAGGGCCTGCACGAAACCAGCCTGCGCCGCGGGGTCCATCACGGGGGGCGCCGGAGCCGGCGCGGGGCCAGGCACTGCGTGTGCATCAGCCATCTTGCGAGTGCGGAGCTATCTGCTTTTCACGCGAAATCTACGGTGTGGGTGTGATGAACAAAAATCGCATCACGTGCTACAGCAGCCTTCGCAGCGTGTCGCTCTGTCCAAAAAACGAAACCAGTCGTGAAGAGCAAGAGAGAAAAAACAAGCTCTCGCAGGCTCTCCAGCTCAGACGACCGCATGAGGGCAGAACACAACGCTACTTCGATCGCGCAGTCTAGGCTGGTGCGTAGCGCACGCACCTATCGATCGAGATCTGTCTGTGGGATCGTGCGCACCTTGGCATCGCTGCAATGTGACTTACTGTCGCAGGAACTGTGTACATAAAGTCGGACTCCGTGCTACTCGTATGAATCATGTGTGTACATCGTGCGTGAAAAACTGTGTGTGCGTGCAGGTACTATCGCGATGTAGATCAACATTCTACACGGAACCAAAATCAAAACAGCCGTCTGAGCGTGTCAAGCTCGACGGGGCGAACTTCCAAAGTGGTGCGCGTGCTACCTTACTATCTCGCTCACCCGCTGCAAAAAGCGATCTTTCTGTAGTGCTGCGGACTCGTTTCCGGCAGCCCCCTCAGGTACCTCAGCATGAGGTCTGTACTTGCCCACCGGCAGTGCACCAGCAGCAGGTGGAACGGGATGGTCTGGCATTGGTACAGCCAGTTGCAGCACCCAATTCGCCAAGAATGGGTCGACTGTGTAGCGAAACCCATCTTCTGCATGATGGCGTGGACGTCGAGCAGCGGCCGCGCCTTCGCGCACAGAAACTCCCGCTGCTTGCAGATGCACGAGTACCCCGGCAGCCCGTGCGCCGGTAGCTCCTTGCAGATGCAGCGCACCCGCGAGACCTGGTAGAGGCTCCCGCTCTTTGTCCAGCTGTGGCGGAAGTGCAGCTTCAGATCGCCGCTGTCCTCCCAGGTCATCCAGATCGTGCCCTTCGTCTGCGTTGCCTCGAGGTCCAAGCGAGGCACCTCGCTCTTGCGTAGCCCGCCGAAGAACGTCAGCAGCAGAACGGCAAGGTCGGAGCGGGTAACCAACCCTCGGTGGTACGCGTCCAGAGCGTGCACAGCGGTCAGCGGGACCTTCTGCGCCGGCACGTCCACGTGCCCCCTCCGCTGTAGCATCCGCAGCGTATCCTCAACGCATTTGCGCTCCCCATCGGTCACGCGGCAGATCTTCGGGTCTGCCATCGCGGCAGTGATCGACCGGGTCACTGTGTTGTAGTCGGCCTCCATGCTGACCGCAATACAGTCCAGGAAGCTGTTCACCGTTCCCACCGGCCATGGCGACTCCTGCGCCATTTTCATGTAGCGCGACAACACGCTGTCGGCGTTTGCGCGCCTGGTCTTGGTGCAGGTGAACTGCGCCATCTTCTCCCTGGCGGCCTGCAGCGAGGCTGGGTCGCGGAGGATGCACAGAGCCTTGTGCATTTTTCCACTGTTCTTCACGACAGCAGGTGGCCGCGCCACGTCGGTCTGCCTAGCGGGGGCAGGAGTGGGTCTGGCGCGAGCAGCCGGCGCTCGCGGTATCGGTGCGAAAACCTGCTTCGCCGCGCGAGGCGGAAGTACTCGGCGCTGCGGCAGTGCGCGGACCTTGCGCAGCGCAAGTGTGGTGCCGATCGGTCGGCCCGGGAGCACCTGCTGTGCGATCGGGGTGTCGCTGCTACCGGCAGCGGGTGCTGCGAGCACAACGCCAGGCGTAGACGACTGTGCTGCGCCTGCAATGGATGTGGGGTCGCCTAATCCCATCATCGGTCGCAGAACTGCTGATCTGGAAGCGGCACTGCTGCTTCCTGCAGCGTGCGAAATCGGCTTGCTACTGCGATCGCTGGCGAGAATGCCGCGCGGCAGGTCGTGCGGGCCTCCCGCCTGACGTCCCTCCTGCAGTCTGCTGCACGACTCCATCCAAGCATCAAGCTGAGCGGCAGTGCTTATCTCCGGCTTGCGGTCGGACTCGATGGCCATCGCAACGGGCACTTCCGCAGCGGCGGGTGCGGACTCGGAAACCGGCGGCTTGGTGCCGACGATGCACGCCGGAGCGGTGGCGGAGCACTGCAAGAAACTTGCAGGTAGCGGAATCCCATCGAGAGCAGCCTGCCGCGCAGCGCCGGCGGCGCGATCTGCGCCGTATTCCCGGGCGAACGCATCGTAGGAGCTGAGCGTGCGCTCAGCAATCGACTTCAGCTTCGCGCGAAGCTTCTCGCTCACCATCTTAGCAGAGGGTGGCGTCAGTCTAATCGAAGAACAAGCGGTGTGGGTGGGTGGGAGAAAAAATCTCAGCAGGATGACTCCCTGCTGCCAAGGACGAGCGAGATGTCACTCGCGGCCATCGCTCAGACGCGATGTCACTCACGCTCACGAGCGCGAAGCACTCACGCGGTGCACTCTCAGGCGCTGCGCGTCGCAGCGTAGACCGGGGGGGAAATGCGCGCCCCCTGCGCATCAGATGCAGTCAAACAGGCTGCATTCGGCAGGCTCACGCAGCTGCATTTTACTGCAGTCTTATGGCGCGAAGAGGCGACGACCAAGTCGTCAGGGTCGCAACGCGACCTCAAGCGGACTGCCGCAGAGCAGGCAAAGAGCCTCGAGGACAGGCCGACCGTGCGGGCTGAACCCGAAGCTGCGCGTGACTTCCGCACCGGAACGTCTCGTGCATAGCGCAGCCGAGATCGGTGAAGGCCGGGTGGAACTGCCAACTACCAACTCCACCCAGCTCTCAGGAGGAGAGGGCGCCAACAGCGGCGCCACAGAACAGTCTCCACCCGGCTCTTCGACAGAGAGCGCCTAGCCGGGCTGAGGACGCAGCATGCGTGCGATCGAGCACAGCAGATCGTGGCGAGGGGCGTGCGGGCCGTGCAGCTGCACGGGCCGCTTGAACAACGCGCGAAGGCAAAAGGCGCCGCTCTCGAGGCAAGCCTCAAGGCGGACGACCCACCCTCCGAGGAGGGGCCGGGACGCACGCTCCCGTGCAGGGTGCGAAGTGTCCTGGAACACTACGCGACGGACCTGCCTCGAGAGCTGCGCCGAAACGCCGACAGGACACATGGGTCCTACGCATGCTGCAGCGGACCCGCAACGGCGGGCCATCGAGCGAGCGCGAGCAGTGGCGCGACCAAGCGCCACTAGGGCGTCTACGGATCGTAGACGGCCTAGAGCGGGGGAAAGGACGCCTCCCCGGGCGGATCATCGGGCGTCGCATCCTACGCGAGGCGCGTGCGAGCGCGCGCAGGCTGTCTACGAATCGTAGACAACCTAGCCAAAAGCAGATCGACCAGCAACAGGGGGGGAGGCACATGCTTCCAACATGTGCGACCGGGCCAGCGGCGGCCGGAACGAGCGCGCAGCGGCGCGAACGGGCGCCGAACCACGGCGGGGTGCATCGTGCGCAAGAACAGAGGGGAACCAGGCTGCGAAGCGGCAGCAGCGTCCAATCGAGGACGCGAAACAACGCCCCTCATCCTGAGGGGGGCTTGTAACGCAAGTGCAACTAGGGCGCATCAGAACAAGATGCGACCACCCTAGAATCGCACCCCAACCAGTGGGGTGGCACAAGCGTACCTGCAGTTGGCGTGGACGGTAAGACCACGAAGAGCCAACGCTGAGAAAAAATCTCAGCAGGATGACTCCCTGCTGCCAAGGACGAGCGAGATGTCACTCGCGGCCATCGCTCAGACGCGATGTCACTCACGCTCACGAGCGCGAAGCACTCACGCGGTGCACTCTCAGGCGCTGCGCGTCGCAGCGTAGACCGGGGGGGAAATGCGCGCCCCCTGCGCATCAGATGCAGTCAAACAGGCTGCATTCGGCAGGCTCACGCAGCTGCAGAAAATGGAAAACATTGCCAAAAGATAGCGGGCACACGCCTAGAAAACAATGCATGGGCATGCTGTTAGTGGTCTTTTTGTCGGAATCGGCTTAAGACTGGCCATCGAACAATTCCGAGAAGTCCGCAGCTGAGCGCTCTCCTCAATGACGGACGAGCTCGCCGAACGTAGACGATTTATTTGCGCGTCTGCAACGACATACGATTGGCAACAGGTAATGTGCGACTTAAGCGTCTTCCTACGATAAAGCCGACACGTCAGACCATATTAAACCGAATCCCCTTAAAAGCCGCGACGTAGTGGAAGACAAGAACTGGAGATAAGTCTCCGCCCGTCCTTACCCAGAAGGAGATCAGCAGAGAGCTGATCGAGAGTGCGAAGCAAGGTTGTTTTTTGTGTTTTTGGTTTTTAAGTGTTTTTTTGCTTTTTTCAGTTTTGTACTTAGAAACTAGTTTTAGAAGTCGAGTTAAGACAGACAAACAGGGCCGCTGTCGTCTTCGCAGAAATCTCTTCTACTGTTTTTGATTGAGATGGGAGATTTTTCCTGTTCGCATGAGTGTCGTGCTGCCTTCCTCGAAAACTTCCAACAAAAAAAAAAAATTGGCTGTGGGGCGACAGCAAAAAAAGTATAAAGATTCAAGATTGCGCCCGGTAACCGTGCGAAGCAAAAAGCTGAATGGGTTTTTTATTAGACTGTCTTTTTTGGGTCTTCTTACTTGTGCGCCCCAGTGCTCTTCTTATTGTCAAAGAACAAGTATTGGCAATTCAGTCTTCGCCAATGTGTATTTGACAGCTTTACTTCTTTGATTTTTCCAATGAGTTGCTCTTCAGCAAAAAACTTTACCGAGGAGTTTTAAAATCTATGGATCACCTAACATCCTACGTCTCAGCAGATGCAGGCGCGTATTGTTGTGGTGCTGGAAGAGACGTCTTTTCTGAAACAGCGACTCTCTTCTATTGAATGAGAAGCACTACCCAACTGATATAAAAATAAAGATGCGATATTTATTTTCTTGTCTGAAGATAATTCCAATATCTTTCTTCAGATAGTCATCTCCTTTTCACATCTCTTCGATCCCATCTCTTTGCGACTACTGCTGGACTCTTCTGATGTTATTCCGGATGATTTTACTCTGCCTTGCTAGTAGCAAATTGCTCTTTCGCTGGATATTGCAGGACCGTTCTTCCGAAGTCCTGAAGTTCACGCTGTAAGATCCGGGAGCGAGGTCGTAAGTTCCTGGCTGCGCATCAAGATCAATTTCTCCGTCTACTTGCGCCTGTTGGTCATTGCCCGTCGTCTGCGCTCCCGTGTCGATGGTAGTACTCGGCCCCGCTTGCACTCCCACGCCAGCCGCATGATCGTGGCCATCAGCTACTTCCACACTACAGCGATTCTGATCATTCTCCACGGCAGGCATTACTTCTTGCTCTTCCAAATCAGAAGGTAGTGGGACAGCAGGTTGATCTGGAGATACAGGAGGTCCAGACAAAACCGGCAGTCGAAAACGTTCTCTTTGCATTTGCGGTGTAGACTCATTCTCTTGCTCTTGTTCTCCATCGACTTGCTGAATGGCGGAAATCATTTGTTCGCCCGTGGGAACGTCATCCATCATTTCCACGTCTTCTGCCTGTCCAGCCGTTGCACCAATGGCGTCATCCAAGATCGAGGTGACGTCGTCAGCGGGAATTTCTTGTTGCAACAAATCAGGAGACGCTAATTCTTGATCTGCGTCTTCTTGAGCTTCAACATCCTGCGGCAGTCCGGGCGAGCGCGGAGATTCTAATTCTTGTTCTTCGTCATCTTGTCCCGTGATTGATGCCTGAGTTTCTTGTTCTTGCGGAGGAGCAGCCACATCTTCAGGAGACGGAGCAGCGGGAATTTGCTCGTCGCTTTCTCCGTTATTCTCCAATTCCCGATGCTGTTCGATGGCTCCATCCACTAATCCAATCACTGGCGACGAAGCCATGTTCTTGTCTAAGCCGTAGCGGACAAGCTGCGCAAATCTATTTGTTCCGTATTTTTCCAGAATTTTCTTGAACTCTGGCAAGTTCCGAATCTCTTCCGTCGTCGGTCGGACAGCGTTGACGTTTAATCCCCAAACTCGCAGTTTCTCCTTTCTGACCTCCGGGTCAAAGATCGCCAGCTGTGTTTCCGGTGGAGACGCAGAAGGAGGCGGCGACTCGATTTCTGTCTCTTCTCCATTACTTTGTCCGTCTCCGAAGATCTCACCACTTCCTTCCGAAGGGGGATCGATCTCCATGTCCGAAGACGTACGACGCGTACGATTTACATCTAAAGGACTGGAGTCCGGAATGGGAGAGCCGCGTCGTGCGCCCGCTGAATTCTGTCCCACCCCATTTAAGGTCTGCAGGTTTCTTTGCTGCTCGATTCCTTCCGCTCCGCCAGCGTCTTCCGCCGCATCATCCGCTTGAATCTCCGGCTCCGCCGGGGCAGGATTGTTTTCTTCAGCGTCTTCCATCTCCACATCTTCCATTACAGCATCTCCTTGGGCTTGTTGGGGAGTAGCAGGATGGACTTCTTCTTCTGGTTCCTGCCCTTGTCGCTGCTGACTCCGTGCGTACGAATTCTCCATAACAATGGAGTCGTCCAACCATTGATCGCCGTCCCCAGGTTCTTCCCATTGCACATAATCGCGCTGGTAGATGCGAAGCGGAGCCCAGTAGTTTTCGTACACCTCGACGCATTTCTCGCGATCAGTCAAAGTCCAGCATTCTGCACTATTGTGTGTACGGTTCTGTCCGTGCAATTGGCAGTAAAACTGGTTGTTCCGGTGACGGGTGGCTACATAGTCATTGTTTCTTCTCCACTTCCTGTGAGGAGTTCTCCGTCTATCACGCGAACTTGATCGTCGTCGTCGTGGGATAGATCGTCTCCTGTTCAACCGATGTTGGTTTACATTGTGGTGGTGAAAGTCGTTGTGGTTCTGCACTGTGGAAGAGGAAGATGATGCAGCACCCGGCAAAAGCGCCGGCGCGAACTGCATAGCCGGATTTGGCAGGATCTGCAAGTGTGCCTCTGGATTATATGTTTCACCGGTAAGGGTCGTGCCGATGTCCAGCGGTCCCAACGCAGCCGCTTGTTCTTCCTGTACCAACGCCAAAGCAAGTTGTTGGTCTGCCACCACTTGTTCAAAAATCGATTGGTCCAGCGGTT